GTTTTCTTGTCACTGGTATTGGCAATGGTGGTACTGATATAGGCATTTATAATGCGCCTCTTCCTTTAAAGTGCACTTCTTTTCCCTGGTCATTGGGTCCCCATGCTTTAAGTGTTAATGCAGATAAAATGCTTTGCTCAAACAAGCAAAATGCATTAGCGAGGGATTGAAACCCCGACCTTGAGGCTGGGAAACCAAACCGTCACCCATAAGATGTTTGGTAGCTATAAGGTATATATCCTATACTAAGATCGTTGAAAGCTCAGTTGGTCTTGCAGAAAAGAATTAGCTGACCAAGTGTTCTGCTAAGCCAGCCTGGCCATTTGGATATAGTTGCTAAGTTGTGGGAACTTCCCAGCAAATACAAGACGTTATTGTAACATTTGCGAACGTTGTGAGTCTTGTGTTTTGGCTATGCCTATAAACGATGCAGCAAAGTTTGTGTTAACGTCTTTTTCTGACATAACTTAACCACAACGTTAACACTTCGACGAACCATTCTGTCTTCTCTGAGAGCGCTTGACGCCATCAGTTGATTGTCGGCATTACGAGCCTCGTCCTGTTGCTTTCTCCATGGAATCGCATCGACCGACGACTTTAAATAGCATAAACGTGTTTTTGGGACAGGAGCGTATTCCTGGCTAGTAAATAGCACTTTCTAGTCAATATTTAATTTGATTGACGCTCCCGAAACTACTGTGAATAACAGAGGGCCAGATCTCCTAATAGACTACCAATGGCAAGATGTTTTTATTTAGATTTTACCAAACCATTTGGACAAAAAATATAAATAGGCCTAAGTACAGTACCATTGATAAAAATTATTCGTGTCCCCTTCGGTGTGTCAGATCCATAATACAGGTTTGTGAAGTTGACACTTGCGTTGACTTGATTTGGCGAAATACCGAAAACATCACGACACATATCCAAATATAGACCAAGGCCCATGTAAGAAGAAAAGGGACACTGTGTATTGTTGTCGCATGTCTGAACTGTAGAAAATAACGAAAACAATTTTATGAAAATATAGAAAACAAGTTCTTTTCAAGAATAAGTAAGCTGAATAGGTCCCTATAATAATTTTTGCAGGAAGACAGATTATACTGATTTTTATTTTACTTGCATTTGCCTCTCGGCGAGGAAAAATTCTTTTTCTAGTTGTGCTGTCGATGCATGGAATGACTCGCAACATTCATATAGAAACATTTAACATGTATGAATTCCAGCCTCAATGAGGCAGAAACGATTTATTAGGCCTATACCAGAAACTGTAATATTAATTGTATCTGTTGCAAGTGGGCCATATGCTGTATTTTCTACCGGTCTTGACCTTAAGCCTGGTATCCATTAAATTGCTACATGCGCCACAGTGTTTAACCATGGAGGAATTGGTTTAGTAAATTCCTCCATGGTGCAAGTATCCCAACGCAATCGGATATGTTCCCCGATTCAAACGACCAATCAGCGTCGTCGACAACGTGTAGCGATTTTACGAATTAACTAGGCTTTACAGGCAAGTTACACATACAAATCGTAGTACAAGTGGCCAAAACTGACCACCTATGGTATGGGCCTTTATGTAGTCATTATACATTTTACTTACAAAAACCAAATTGAGTGCACGTTTGATAGGTCCAAGACCGCTCACCTACTCCGGATGCTGTTTTATTTACGTTTGTGTCATTAATCATTTGCACCATATCTAGGTAAGAACTCTCCAAACAGTCCGCGCCCGTTGCCATGAGAAAATCCTGAAACGGCAAGAACATGACCACAATTACGTCTGTGTACCATTATGATACAATTTACGTAAAAATAAATTTATAATAACGTCGCAGATTGATTCTTAAAACTTTTTTTTGTTCAACACAAAAATCGTATTTATAACGTAATTTCCGACTAAAGTTGCAAGCGTTGTTGTAACGTTGTGTTAGTACAATTCATGGATTGTTGCACTTGGAAAAAAATCTTACTGATAAATCACGCAAAAAAGTATCTTAATGTTTATTAATTACAGAGTGAGTAAACGTCTATAAAACTTATATAATTAACGCTCTATGAACACCACTATGAGAATTGATCTCGAACTGGAAGGCTAAGAAATCACATGTAAATAATGACAAACACAGAATTTGGTTAAAGTATTTCGCTGTCTAAAATAATCATTCTCAGACATACAACAATTATCACAAGTTATAAATTATTGTAAACGGTAACTTACATCATTTAGCTTAATCGCCCTCTCATATGGGGAACCTTGAGCATCACTGATGAGTTTACAAATATACCCGATGGAATTTGACGTACCATTGGTATTATACTGCACAGCGCCTTCGATGGGGTCGGCCAGATTGCTTAAAAATGCTGCGTAGTCGTTTGCAGATTTGAGTGGACTGCAGAGCTTAAAGTCTTTGTGGAGTTTATCGAGTGAATTGTTATCCAGGTACAGCTGAATTTCTTTAAACGCTGATGATATATTACTTAAGCACTGTAAATTAAATTTCATTAAATTGATTTAAAGTAGGCCTATATGTTGAATACCGGGTAGTTACAGAAATCATATTTGGTTTTGTTTGTATTGATCTTACTTGCTGTGAACCACCAACGGTTGTATCTGAAAGACTCGTCTTCACCACATCATTGTAAGCCTCGAAATTGGTGACCGCTCGCACTGGAGCAGACGATGCAACCGCAGCATATACAAGATGTGGATACTATAGACAAATAAAAGTTTTATGCGATATTATAAAACATTGTTCAACTAAACTAAACTTTTTATTCGGTCACTTTCCAAGTGTATTCTGTAGGGTAATTTAAAAAGGTTCCTATGACTTGTGAATGCATAATCGTGTCATTGCATTTTATTTTGTACATGTTAAGTTAATCTTAAAAATTGCCCATGCAAAATAGGAAAAAATAATTTAAAAAAATTAAAATAATTTTGAAATTAACTTGCTATTTTTAAAGTAAAATAAAAAGAATCAACTAATGAACTTGGAAATGATTTAAAGAATGTTTACTCATAATTTTACAGTAACGATTGATAGAAATGCTTCCAGATGTGTTTTTATTATTTTTTTTTATCATTATTCAGTCTACAAATATGGGTACACGTGTTTTTAATTCAATAATATCTATGCTTAAGTTAATAATGTTTATACATACATTACATCATTTATATAGCGGTACTGTTTCTAAAAAATTATAATACATACCCCATACTCGTATTGAAATTTGTGCTGGGATTCCTGATAATGACATAATGAATGTCGAAATATTAAATCCCAACGCGATGGCGTGTATTTTAATATACACTTTCTTATATGAGATTATTAAGTGGACCTTCGGTTTTTTTTTGGAAACGCTACAGATGCTACTGCAAAATGAGCAAGTTAATTTTAAAATTACTGTACTTGTATAATTTGTCATTTTCAGGTAACATACCGTAAGCTCTAGCTGGCATACAAACCGCTTAAAGGGCAAGTGTACGGTATGCGTTTTTACTCATTTAACGAAAAATATTTGGCCAAACTGCAATTTTATTTATTTTTTAAACAAAACATGCATATAAATTGAGTTACCTTAACTCTGAACCAGGCCGATAGATCTCCAGCATAGGACCCACCAAAACATATCCAAGTATTGTTAGGGCCAAGAGAATATTTGTCCGAGATAACTCGATGAAATTCAGCAAGGTCTGCCAAACTAAAAAGTGATAAAACTTCTATAAGCTAAGCTGTTTTTATTTAATTATAATATCGTGAAGCGCCGTAAGTAGTTTTTGCAATCTTATGTACGATAACGAATACATATAGTTAAATATAACGAATAAATACACGACATTATTTTTTTTCATTCACAAAGTTGCTCTTGAATTTAATAATTTCCCATAAGAATCCCTCGATTGTCATTCTGTTTTCATCGCCCCTCAAAAAGTACAAAAAAATATTTTAATCGCCCGGGCGCTTATTCGCGGGAGTAGGCCTACGGTATAACGAAAACAAAACGCCGTCACATTTAACCATAGCATATACGAAAACATCACACATAACTATAACGAAGTATACAAATACGCCACATTTAACCATAACGAACAAGAGAATATCCCCTGTGACGAATATGAATGAAAAAAACACTTTTCACGACATAGGCCTATTTATATGTAAAAATTTCACTAACGCCTGTTGACTGGAAAGGTATTGTAAGTTATTCAATTTCAGACTATCGACGTTCAGGCTTTCTCCATAGTAGCGGTGTTCAACTCCTAGGATCAGTGCGCCATGGGTCTCTGCAATTTCAGTAATGAGGCCTGTAAAAAAAACGTGACCCCCTGTGTTAAAATTCAAGTTAAAATATAAAATGAAAAAACACAAGAACACTTCGTAAAAAGATAGGTCCAATTGCAACAGCCACAAGATGGGGAGGAGTTGTATGTAAAGGTAAGGCGTAAAGGTAAAGTTAGGAGAATAACCCATCAGTCGCAGCGTCATTGAGCTGAATTTAGTATGGGTGTGGTCCATGACTGCCAGACTTATAATTCTACGATGATACTCAGTAGTTCAATGTTTGGATGTTCTGCAGAGGTCTTAGACGTTCACATCATTCCACAACGACATGGGCTGAAATGAACCATAGCATCGGGGTAACACCCTACTATTTCGAAGGATGTAATAAGTTCTTTAAAGTGCACACGAGCCATGGTTGTCTACACTGGACCTCCATTTTAAGTCCGAGAAGACTTAATTCCACCAACCAAACCCTGGACAAGGAGTGGCTCGAACCAGCGCCGATGTTAAGCCTGTTTTCCATTTGGCAAATTTATTCGCGCCAATAGAAAGTGTCGGCACATGCACATGCGCATTCACATTTCTATCGGAGTTTTGCAATGTTGTGAACGCACTGTCATCGTGTGCCACTGTTTTAAAAGCGAAGTTTCAAATAAAGATTATTATTATTATTATTATTATTATTATTATTATTATTATTATTATTATTATTATTATTATTATTATTATTATAAACCGACGTTTTGATTCGCGCGAATAAATTCGCCTAGTCGAAACAACAGGCTTAATTAAGGTGTAGTTAGAGGTGCCCCTGCATTTCCGTGTCGGCTATTCGAGTCGCTAAAAATATACGAGGGGCGTGAGGGAAATTGTCGACCACTTACCGTCGGTCAGAAAATATGTCGATAGAGCACCCTCTCCACCAATGAAGAGAAACACTGGTCCATCGGGTTTCTTCCAGAAATCGTTAACCACATAGTACTTTTGCTGAAGTGAACCTTTAACCAAAGGGTCAAAGTGATCTAATGTTTGGTTGATGTATCCCTCAGAACATTGCACAGTGCCCGATATGCTGTCTTTATAGTTATTTTTCACGTTCTTCGAAATAATATACTTCTTGTAGCGCCAATTAAAAAGTGAACCTGATGATTAAACACAAAAAATGTTTATATGCGTCGAAAGCAGTTCGTTTTTGTTAGCGTGTTAGCGGCAGATTTATAATAAAACATCAATATTCAAACATTCAATAATAAAAATATTGGTTGACCTAGATCAAATAAATAAATTGATTGATTGAAAAATATGCATAAATATTGGTCTTTAATGGATAACAGGATGAATGAAAATGTTGCAACGATTGCCCTTCATTTCCTCATCAGCTTTATAAAATTTCAGTTTTTGTATATATATATATTTTTTAATATAGTAGCTCCTTGGTAAGAGTGTTGACTTTGTAAATGTAGTTTCTATTGCATCTGTAGCAAATAATTTCCTATTTTAAAATTATGATGTCTTTCACTTTCTTAATCTATCAATTGATTGCAAAATTTGATAATTAGTGTGCCAACCAATTTAAAGTTCCATTAAAAAAAGAAGAAATTGAATGAAAAATATTAATGTTAATGACGCCAGCAGTCGTTATCGACTATAGACTTATTAAAAGTGTACGACCGATAAAAGTTCGAAAATATTTTAAAGTTGCAGAGTAGGCCTACCTTTAATAAAAGGCAAGATCAGGAACAATAGCATTAGCTGCGCTTTACGTTTCATCTGAAAATATAACGAAACTTAAATGGCTATAAAATATTTACACAATGGTTTCACTTGTTATGTGACTTCACTTTCATGAGTTTTGACTATAAGAATTAAAGATATTGATGTAAAAAAAGATTCTTAATTCGCTAATGCGTTTATTGGTTTTACATTCTTTCAAAAACTGTGCCTTTTTGTGCGAGTCTGTTCTCATTGTTTTTTTTTTACACATTACACCATCATGCAAGTTGTGTATTTTACAATACAAAAAATATGTTTTCATATAACTAAAATAATCATTCAGAAGACAAGAAAATAACCTAAGTCTACCTTTTCTGAAAACTTACTGCTAATTTATTTATGGCTTATTATTTCTATTCCGCTCAAAACTGAAAGACTACCAAAAGCAACATCAACGGTAAAGTAGTAAGCATACACAAACTGTAACCTAGTACGCACAAGTGAGGGTGCACACGGCTTATCTACACAGTAACGTATCTAGGGATGCCTTCCCCCAATTAAAATGTCCTTAGCAAAATAAATCACGCTCAATAAAAATCACCTCATATCTCCTTATTTTGCGACGTAGCGCCCCCTCACTTAATATTCGAGTCTCACCTCGAACCCCCCCCCCCCCCAAATTTAACTATCCTCCACGCCCCATCAACCCCCATACTCCAAACGCCACTGCTCCCCCTAACCGACTCCTTAGGCCCCTATCCCAAATAAATAACTTGCAATTTTCTTCCTACCTTGCAATCGGCACTCAAATCATTCTTGATTGATTGAAACCTTTCTATCTTTTTTTAGTTGGCACCATGTAGTAGACCTTCGCGGTGATCGGAAATTTGTACAATAGGCCTACAGTAATACTGTTAGAGGCCTAAACCAAAATAATCCAAGCCACAAGGCAGTGATTGTACACTTGGATGATTCTCAACAATAAACCAGCCGGAAGTTCCATAAAAGAAGGCCGACCTGCGCATCGACACAGAGTGGCGATGCGGAAACTATAAAAAGTGAGCAGGAAATATATAGAGGAAGCAAAATGGCGAGAATATTATAAGAAATTTGTCAATGTTTTAAAAATATTTTGAAGAATGTATTGTGATTTTATATAAAATATGTCCCTTTTATTGTCTTTTACTGTATTTTAATGTGTATAAAGTAGAACGAACAAGAAAAAAAACTTTAATTTAAAGAGAAACCCAGACAGGTATGTACAGCATAGGCCTAGGCTGGGCCTAGGCCATACTTAGTTTAGCAGGGGCCTATGTCTACAGACCCTGACCCTTAATTGTTTAGGCCTGCCTATACTTGTCATTCATTCTAGGCTAGCTAGGGCCAAGCCCTACTTAATGCTTAGGCATGAATGAATGGCATTGACTATGTTAGCCTATGAACTAATTTAATTAGGCACATTTGTATTATTATTATTATTATTATTATTATTATTATTAATTAAAATAATAATAATATTATTATATTATTATTATGAAAATAATAATAATATTATTATATTATTATTATTAAAATAATAATAATATTAATTTATTATTATTATTATTATTATATTATGGTTATTGAGGTATTTTAAGCCATTTCGGCCCTTAATTGAATAATAATATAACTTATAACGTACGATGTAAAATGTACTCACTATAAATATTTCATTAAGATACCCGGGACAAGGATGAAATATTTATAGTGAGTACATTTTACATCGTACGTTAACGTATATTATTATTATTATTCAATTAACAGAAATGGCTTACACAAAATACTTCAATAACCATAATACAGTAAGTCGTAAATGGCGTTAATAGCAGTGAATAGGTAGATGCAAGCAACAGATGCAACATATTAAATCGATTATTATTATTGTTTTATTTTGATTAATTATATATAAATTCATTATTATTACTTTTTATTGTTAAATTATTGTTATTAAAATATTATTATTGCTATTATTATTGTGTATATTGTTAGGTATAGGTTGACTTTACTACAATAACTCAATTTACTAGAACAATTCTTATACAGTTTTTGTTTATATACATTTTTGTCAAATTTAAATGATACAGACAGATAATTATTATATAAAAAGTTGATTGACACATTTGAATTTCATGTTGATTTTTAATTTTGCCTGTAGCCTATGACAGTGTGGTGGTGATGATTGTTAATTGCAGTACAGTATAATAATGGTTACAAAACAATTTAATTAAACAATATAGAAAAGTCAAAATCCTATAATTCCCTTCGGATTTGGGTATTTGTTAAAAAAAAGTCACAGGTCTTAATGCCAACATTTCTTTCGTGGATGTAATTGCATATACATGATAAGCCTACATAGAAATACTGTACTGTATACGCAATGATAAACACAAAACACAAACACTGAAGTGTTGCATTGTGAAATGTACCACATCTTTTCATCATTATTACTTAGTCAGGATTTTTATCATACTACAATAATGAAGATTAACAATTTTGCTTAACAATAATAGCAACATTGTAATACATTACAGTATAATTATAAAAATAATACTAAGACTAATGAATAATAGTAATATAATAATACGGTAATAGCAATGATAACAATAATATACAAATATTACAATAATAATAAAATAGTAATAGTAATAATAATAATTATTATTATTATAGTAATAATAAAAATAGGAGTGGTAATAGATGCAAAAAAGGTATCTGTGCTTAACAAATACTCGGCCTATACAATAATAATAATATAATACCTATAATCATAGTTACCAACCGTCTCGCCTCGTGCGGGACGGTCCTGCATTTCAAAGTGATTTGGATGAAACACGCATTTTGCAGAAACACATGCGTGATCCTAAATTTGTCACGCATTTAACAAAAGTCTATGCGTAATAACGATTTATCTCAAATTCATGGGAAAATGTATTTAAAATTTGAAGAAATTGGTTGTGTTAAAACTATGAAAAGATGCAGTAACTTGAGTCTTTAGAGAGCACAGTGTTTCCTTGAAGGCCCTACTTATTTCACTAATGAGTTACTAAAATTGATCAGTAATGAAATGTTTGTGTAGGTCTACATAGTTCGGTGCTCAAATTAAACATAGGCCTACATTGAAACTCAAATTGGCTTTATTAATAATATTTTTGCTTATGTACCTGTATTAAATCAACAAACAGTCCCTGAAATCGTTTTAAAACAGCTTAAAAATGCTCAGATCGTCATTTCCACTAATTTTTGGTATATGCTATATTTTTGTTCTTAGGTAATTACTGTAGTAGTGTTCATGTAGATATTGGGCCTCAAGATACAAGATATGATTTGCTGTCTGACGTACGTGTACATCCTGGTCTTTCTGACCATTTTGCGATAATGTGCAAACTTGACCTTAAAAAACCTGCTTTGCCTAAAACTGTAATTAAGAAACGAAATTTAAACCTAATTAATATTGAGGATTTTAAAATGGATATTCTTGCTCGGATTTCTAATATTTCGTTTGAAGATTGTAATTTACAAGAGCTTGTAGGTAGATTTACTGCACTGAAAGCAGTTTTAGATGAACACGCTTCTTTTAATACAAACATAATTAAACCCAAAGCTTTTAAACCGTAGTTTACGGAAGAGATTCGTTCTGCAAGAAAAACTCGCCGTCAACTTGAAAGAAAATGGATGAAATCTAAGACACATTCTGACAGGCAGAAGTACTGTGACCAAAGATGTAAATAAAATGGTTGAAAAAGCTAAAACAATGTATTATTCTGCCCTTGTTAGGGACTGCTCTGGTGATCAGAAAAAGCTCTTTAACATAGTTAACAACCTCCTTCACCGCTCAAAGTCTACGGTTCTTCCTTCTTCTGTATCAAATCAAGCTCTGACACATTCAGAGTTTGATCCTGCAAGTGAGGTGGAAATAAGTGACATTGTTAGAAGTTCGCCTTTGAAATCTTGTCGACTCGACCCGATACCGGGTCCGACGAATTACCCAAATGATAGGGAATTACCCAAATGATACCCAAATGATACCCAAATGATAGGGAATTACCCAAATGATACCCAAATGATACCCAAATGATAGGGAATTACCCAAATGATAC